CTGAAGTCACTGGTCATTCACAGGGCACTTCACCTAGAGCAAGCAGCAACGGAAATAACAATACAAACTCTCCAGGTCTGAGAAGGTCACTCAGGGCAAGAGGCCCTCCCAAATACCTAGCCGATTACGTAAGGTGAACAGGTACATAGCGAGAGCTGACTGAAGGTACTGGCGGGTTGTAATTAAGTAAAACAAGGTCAGGGGGAGTCACTGGATCTGGTTCAAAGGAACCGTCCCACACCTTATATATTGTGTAACTTTATTTCATTATTTAATTATATTACCATCTATAAGATGGCGTCCATGTGGGCGCAATCTTATTTCATCCAGGGGAAAGGGGTGTTGTGTCCTGAGCCTGCAAGATGCAGGCTCGGGACGTTGCAAGAGTCCCGGGCATTTGCAGAAGCTGCCCGGGACCAGACTGAGCGGCGCCGGCCTTGTGCGCATGCGCAAGGCGGGAAAAGCCCGCCTCATGATTGGTTGAACTTACCCGGGGATCAGAGGGTATAAATAGAGGCCTGCGTGCCTCTGCTCTGGTTGTTCGAGAGTGGAGCAAACAATAAAGACTTGTTAGAGATGAATCGTCTCAAGTGCCATTATTCCCAGGACTTAACACTGTATTTACTTTATCATCCAATCAAAGAAGGTTTTAGTACCTCATTTGACCACTTTGTGGAACAGAATATCTGAATTTAGTTCAGTGCTAGAACATTAAATACTCATTTATTCACAGAGCTGGTGTTTGTTTATAAAACTGCAAATTTTCAAGGTATATTTATAATGGAAAATTGAAGAAACAATTTTGCATTCTTCTTGCTGACAACAATCGTAATAGTATATTTAGTTGCATCATGAATGACATCTCATTCCTTCTTGTTATTTCTTACTGTTGTTTATTTACTTATGTGATCATAGCAAGCGGTGATAATACATGCTTGGGCATTTTACAGGAGTAATATATACATGCTGATCATTATTCTGTCATCGTTCAAGAACTCCATTAAAACAAAGTATCTGGACTTTGGCAGAAAAGCAATAAATGCTAACAGTTAATTGCTAAACCTGCCCTTCTTTTTTACTATTTCATGAAGACTTTAATTTTCTCAGTTACAAAACTAACAGAAACAGCAACTTCATACAAATTTATTTGAGAACAACCCCTTAAAACTCAGCTGCACATATTTCTAAGTAACAACAACTAGAAATTCAGAATTTCACAAATAAAGAGAGTTGCATTGTGGCTCGAAGTATAGACTATAGCTGGTCACATATTCATTTACTACTGATAGAGGCCATTGTTTTACCAACTGCATAGGCATCTATGGGGAGGAGCCAAGAGGAGAACAAATTAATGTATGTGGGTCTTTATGTCGGCATGCCAATGATGCTATTTGCATATTTGGATATCATGATGTCATTATATAATCAAATCATTTTCTCAGTAATGTAATAAAAATTAAATCAAAATTTAACAACTTACATGTCTTGGCATCTCAGAAGATTTTTCTCTAGAACACAATTCAAGCAACTGGACTACATAAGACATGAGAGGTTTCATGAAATATCAGTTGAAGAAAGATTGCATTTATGGAGCCTCAGCATTGAAGACACTGAACACATTCTTGTTGACTGCAAATTGTACAAAGAGCTGCTTACTTAGGCTTTATTTTAAAAGTAAAAAAATATTCAAACACCTAGGAGAAACAATTTTACTTATTGCAGGAAACAAAAGTCCATATCATCAATAAGATTGCATTCTTAATTTCAAATGCCATCTCCAAGAGGACAGAATACCTTGATCAGATTGAGGTTAAATGCAGGGATAATGATCTATTATGACTTTTTTCTCTATCTATTTGCATTTTTTGTATCAGTTTTATATATTTGATACAGTTAATTAACTTCATAAAGTCTTCTTCTTCTTCTTCTTCTTCTTCTTCTTCTTCTTCTTCTTCTTCTTCTTCTTCTTCTTCTTCTTCTTCTTCTTCTTCTTCTTCTTCTTCTTCTTCTCTTCCCTTCTACTATTTTGTCTTACTTATTTATATTTATCTTACCTGCTATATTTTATTCTATTTAATCTCACTTCACTGTGTCTTGTCTTGTCTCATTTTATTGTATTTTAGTGTAGCTGATGCTTATGCCTTGATATGGTTAATTGACTAACCAATATCTTATCAACTTCATCATAGCATACTAGTATAGCATATAGCAGGTATTGCTGACTAGTTGCATTACTTTACCTGCAATATAAGGATGACAACAATGGTTTTCCCGCATGGGGCTATTATAAGGATTTTATGACACAAGTCACTTTGGTCTCTAAAGTAATACTATATGAATGCTATGACTTTATTTATCTGCAAAGTCAATACCCAATCAATATGTCATATAATAGAATGGACCTAGAATAAAAAAATAAAGTAATCTTTATCAATGGTATGAAACAAGGAACAGATGAAAATTTTTAAAAAAGTTACTGCTTTTCTACATTTTTCCATTTCTTAAAAAAATGTTTTCTGTGATGCTTTTAAAAATATTAAAAATACATATTTGAAATTAAACTTTAAATAGGTCTAGAATCATACTGACATGATAATTTAACAGTGAATATACTAATCCAAACCAGGATTTGTCTTATTAGAACTACACTGTCCTTTAAGTGACCTGTATTTTTTCATGTTCTTCTTTAATTGTCACTAATGCCTAAGCAATAATTTGGTTTCTTAAAAAGGACAGGAGTAGCAAAGAAATTGTGATTCGTCACCAATGATGTCATGAGCATCAGCCAATTAGTAGGTGTGCCATATTGAAATAATAGAAGATACAGTACATATTGTTCTGAGTTCGTTTGCAGCAGTTTTTGTGAGGTTGTAGATTAGAGAAGCAATGTTCCTTTATCAAGCTTTATTTGTAAAATATCCTCACTGCAGTGTCCCTCTTCTTCAATGATTATAAGTTACATCAAAAATAAATTTCAGCCTAAAATAAATGATACTGCATTAGATTCTCCCAATAAGATATGAGATTTAGCCACTTAGTTCTATCCACTCTGGATATTTACTCTTCAGTCTTACTCAGTCTTCTATCCACATAAGTGCAGCATGACTAACTACACGTAGTGGAATAGGAATAGCAAACTATGTATGATAAAGCTAAAACATATATAGCTCTGTAAAAAACTATTTTCCACATTTCAGAATATTTATAATGCTTCAGTACATATAAAAAGGGAATCCAAGTGAATAAGTAACACCAAAGATGGGGGCTTCTTCAATTCATTTCATAAACAGTAGTGATGGAATGACTTTGAGAAGACAGTCACCCTTAAAGGATTCATTGTCCCAAACATTCTCCAGTTCAATACTTGGACTATGGATCCCTAAACTTTGATAGAATTTATGTAATCTCTTCCAGATCAATAGGTATTAACTAGGTTTTATGGAAATCTTCAGACATTTCTTCTGAATGGGGCATGACATGCCTGTTGAATCTCCATTTTCATACATCTAGACCTAGATATGCCTTTAACTAAACTGGAGGGATCATTTTTTCACTCTGGCACTTTGAATGTTGGGTGATTTTGTCTATAAAATGAAAGCAACACTAAATGTTAGTATTATTTGTCTATTCAGACACTCTTTATATGCCTATTTTGGTAGATGTGATTAGGACCCACATGAAGGTCTGCTTTAATTATATGTAACAGAAAAGATGGGCAAACATTCAGAAAATCTGAAAACAAGCATATTTTTTTTTTACAGATCTGTAGGTCATCAGTGTAAAATATCTGAAAGACTTAACTTCATCCAGTGTATATTTTAGATTATATTCTGCTTGTGAAGAGGTGCAAGTTAAAAACATGGTAGAATTAATGCTCTTAAATACAAATCTTAAATCTTCTAGTAATGTAGCTATTATGGAATAGGACCTAAAACACCTTTTTAGCTAATGACTGTGGAATTAAAGACCTCAGTTTTATATGTCCATGCCAATTGTTTTCTTATCAATAAAAATACGTAAAAGCACATTTAAGCTTTTGAAAATCAGTGGTTTTACTGAAAAGTAATATGAATATGCCCACGAAATGACCAGAAATGGAACTCATTAGAATTCATTCATATGAAATTTTAGATTAAAAAAATGAAATCTGATTAGGTTTTTTGGCAGCATTTGGCCACACTTTGGTTGATCTCAAAAAATCTCAATAGGGTTATCTTCTTCTCACAAACTCTTTTTAACTTCTTGATCTGATTTACAGACCTAGCATTTCTTGATGTCCCCTCCATTGAAGCTGGTTAGAGCTTCAATGGAGGAACATCAAGAAATGCCAGGGGTGTAAATCAGACCAAGAAGTTAAAAAGAGCTTCTGAGAAGAAGATAGTGGCAAGCTATATCCCTATTGCTGCCAAAAACAAAACAACAAAAAACACAAAAAAACACCTTTACTGTGTATGAAGTGTCCATATACTCACTAATGACTGAACTTGATTCAATAGATTCTTTATCTAGTGAATGCTGATTTGATTAACTGATTTGATTAAGATGAATATGGAAACAAACCCTAAGCTACACTGGGACTGAAGTTTGAAGGTCTGACTTTCATGACAACAGACTTCAAGGAATACCACCAGCCACGCCACGTGTACCACACAATTCCATTATCTGTCCTTGCTGAATAGGGTCCATTATAGTACAGGCCATTCAGGTTGGCAGTATGACATCTAGTGAAATAGAAGAAGAAAAAGAAATAGAAGATATCTATTAGTTTCAAACAAAATCATAGCTTCCTCGGACTTTTTGCAAGTAGAAACTGTGACCTATTTTTTTTTTCTATACACTGCATTTTAGTCCTTGAAGACTGAGTAATATATAATGCCTGGGACTAAAAGGGGGGCACAATTTCTGCTTCATCTGTACCGGTTTTTGCTTTGGGAGAATGCAGTTACCTCTAACCCTTTGCCACTTGCATGGACCTTAGATGTGAAGAGAATCATCACCTACTCATCATCAAAGGACTGTCTAGTAACAGGCATAACAGGAACGTCACCAGCAACCCTCTCCATAATGTATTCTGTGACTTGAGGTCTGAATCAACCTAATTATACAGAGCTGTACTATAGTGACTTTGTGTAAGGAAAGTTCTATTGGTTTTCAGACAAAGTTATTTCATTTCCCCCAAATATCCCAATATCCCAAGAAACCCTGCTTATTTCCTAACTAATAACAACTAGTGATTTGCTATACTTTTATGATGCCTAAAATCCACCCAATGATTGCCTTGATCTCCTCAATGATCAGCTCGATGAAGAAATGGCCCGTAAGGTAAGTAAGCAACCCACTGCATGTGTGTGTTTACATTAGTGTTATAAAACAATAATAATAGGTAAGAGACCATACAAGGCACACAAAATGATCTAGTGCATCAATCATTTTCAAATATTGTCAAATAATGTGGTTTTCCATGAAGTACAACTAGTTTAATACCAAAAGTAATGATTATCTCAAACAATTTTGCTGATAATATTTCTGGATGGAGGGTTCTGATTACAACCAAAATAAAGACCTTCTTTATGCAGCTATTCCATCTTTCCCTCTTCAATGACTTCTTTTTTGGTTGGAAGGGGAAAAAAATGTTAGAAATACAAATGGATTATCATGATATTTGCTTCCATCCTATATTAGATGAAATGGTTGGGACAACACATCTGAACATAAGAATCCAACAATCTCATCTGGCACTATCCAGAGATGGTATGAGAGTTGTTTTAGTTCTCCTTTGAATAGATTCATCAAAGGTGAATACCCTATAATCTTTTCTGGGGAACCGCAGGAGTTTCTTAAGGATTAAATCATTTAGTGTCTGTGGTAAACCACTGAATAATAATAAAAAAATCTCCCTGCCTCCAGCCAATTAACCAAAAGTAAGTGGAATATATGGGTTAGGTTTATTTGGATGTTTACAAAAATAAGGAAAAACCTTATAATACCAAATCAAAATATTGAATTTACTGATTAAAAAAGGATGCTTATGAAAAAATGGAACCAAACAATAATTTGGGAGGGTGGAAATTGTAATAATTATGCCAGTAACTGCTGTATAGAAGATTGGAAGTCACTTCTAGAGATTTTTTTTCTTTGTTTCTCACTGTTTCTCACTTTCTCTTTTCTTCCTTTTTTACTTTTTACTTTAGGTTTGCTGTAGTTTTTAAACTCTGTTTAAAGTTTTTTTTCAATAAAAATTATACAACCCTCTCTCAAAATATTGAAGATAGGCAAAGCATTCTGCCCTCAGCATGTGGAGACGAAGAAGAAAAGAAAAGAAAAGAAGAAGAAAGGAAAGAAGAAAGGAAAGAAAGAAAGAAAGAAAGAAAGAAAGAAAGAAAGAAAGAAAGAAAGAAAGAAAGAAAGAAAGAAAGAAAAGGTAATCTGGGTTATATACAAAAATCCAGATTAAGTTATAAGGAGGAGATGCAAGATTTGAAAACATTAATTCTAATTTCTAAATACATTTACAATATCATATTTTCTAATAGTACCCTCATTTCTTTTTCTCCTCAGATTTCACATCATTGAAAGTTTTGAGGGATTCTTAAACTTTAGCCCTTTATCAAAGCCTCTTTTAAAAAATAAGTAGCTATTTATTAGTTGTGCAGATATTTTTTCTAGTCACTTTTCCATCTTATCATTCTCCTTTTTTGCTTCCTGAATGTTATTTCCAATAGAGCAGAAATGTAGCAAGGAAAAAAACTCCAAAGTATTTTCTTTCTGTTGGTGGATTCAGCACTAATTGTTTCAACTTTTTGCTAATCAACTTAATTTGAAGAGAAAAAAATCATTTCTTGAAACAAGAACAACTGGCAATAAAAATAACCAAACTTTACATAACCAATATGCTTAATTATGTTTTATTTCACTAGCACAATTTTCTCAATTTAGACAACATAACTATATTGGCTAGGAAAAGGGCCGTATTAACCACAAGCTAAACAAAAACAAATATGTGATGCAGTAGCTTAAAAGAGCATACGCCACCTCATACTTTTGGGGTGTGTTAACACAAGCAAAGAGACCAGATCGCAGAGCTTATTTGCTTTACCTCACTCTGCCCTTCCACTTAGAATACTTAGACTATTCTCCCCAGTTTTGGTACTAAAGTTCAAAAGGGACAGGGAAAAAATTACAAGGAAGGGAATTCATGCTATGGTAATCATCAAGAGGAATTTCTCACTTATGAAGCATCACAGAAAGTGATGAGCTCTTTTTAAAGAGATCTTAGACAGAGGCTGGATGGTCACCTGTCAAAGAAGTTCTAAAGGATCATGTAGTGAGGAGCAGATTTTCCATGATGCCATGATTCCATTTACAAGTTCTTAACAGAATTAGGCTATCTCAAGAGCAAAACAGGATCGGATGTAATTAGTACTTGGATAAGAGATCACCAGGAAATACTAAAGCTCTAAGCTAGACTGGAAAGGAGACAGTCTGGGAAAAGACAATTGCAAACCCGTTTTGTATTGTTGGATATGGACAAGACTACATAGTCACCAGTAGTCAAGCATGACTCAGTCAAGACTTTACCTTAAAATAAATTACAAACATAACACACTCTTGGTATTATAATTAACCACTAGTTTTGTAACTGAAGTAAAAAAATGTCTCTAAATATCACAAAAAGGGAGTGACAGATTGTGTATAAGTCCTAGAGCCTCAGGTTGCCCACCTCTGCACTAGATCATAATATAATTTGCTTGATTTTGTACAGGGTGCAAACTCAGTCACTGATTGGGTTTACAATTCACAAATTTATGGTTTGCTGTAATCATAATGCTAAACCAAAGCTTAAAAAGTCACATTACCGCTTAGGACAATGTGTGTCCTTAGAACACATTAAGCCTCACAAGTCTTAATCTAGCTAGGCTTCATGGTTATCTTTTCTACTTCTCTGTATTTAAAACCCAAAGAAGATTCTATTATCCAGTGATCTGTTTTTTAACAGGTAGGCATATTTGATAAAGTAGCCCAGGGAACTCCATTGTCTTTTCTTATGCATATGTGATGATGGCCTGTGATCAGTACTTTCCCTTGTCTGTGCTTGCTGGTTTTGTTCCCGTACAAACATTGCTCCATTGTTCACAACAAAAAGCACAATTAACACCCCCCCCCCCAGAAAAGAACTAGAGAATTGGATAACTGTCATTCTTGCAAGCATAGAGCATCGGTGCTGCATGGCACAATCTCCACATTAAATAATCATGCTATTGCCTCTTAAAGAGACACCAGACCTCTAGAATACAAAGATTGTAATACATCAGGATAAAGACCTATCAAATCTAGCAAAGTTAAGCTAGGAAGATTTCTTCCTTCAATATCATAATCAGATTCATCAAGATTATGTTGGCTAGGAATTCTGGAAGTTATGTTCTCAGTGCATCTGCTCAATTTTTTATAACAATACCACCTAATTGCTATGGGATGAGAATAGGTTTATATAAATTATGTTAAACCTCAGAAGCTTCTTGGCTCAGCCCATGATGGTGATATATAACTGAATATCATTAGCATATGAATGATAACATCACCCTGAACCATTTTAGTTTGAACCACAGAACAACACACTTCATTCATGTACACATTAAATAATTTGGAGGGAAACCTGGAGGCAATTCACACTTTAGGGACTTGATCACAAATCTCCCCATGATTCTGACTGGAAGTATCCACTAAGGGTATCCTTAGTGTGCACACCATAAAATGATACCACCAACTCCCTTCTCCTGCAGGCTATTATAGTTGATGGTACTGAATATGATAAAGACATCTAATAAGATAAAAAAGGACATGTTTTCCCATATCAAGGTTCTAGCAGAGGTAATCAACTAGACCAATCAGTGCCATCTCCATTCCTTAACAAGTCCTGACTAAAAATGGATCTAATAATTTCAACTAGAATTCTCTGCAGTGTAATTGATTTTTTCACCAACTTCTTGACCAGATTGGAAGGAAAAAAATCTGAAGCCTAGAAGAAAATTGTAAAAAGAGAAAAAGCAGTCCTTTTTATTGTAGAATAAGGAACTACGTTTTATAGCATTTGAATTTGTGAATTGTTGTTATATTATCAAAATCAAACTGAATGATAGGTCAGTTATAGTCAATCCCATAGTTAAAATGAATTGTATTTCAGAACATACAGTACAGTAGCCATATATCGGCAGCTAAATACAAAACAATCATTTCAGTTTCTCAGCAACAGAAATATAGACATTTCCTTCCCTTTGTGACCGAAACATTTTTCTGAGAGATATATAGGATATACAAATTTTCCACATATAAAACCTGTTAGGCAGCATTTCAGCAGGCTACATTTACTTACAAAGTACTCATAGCCTAATAGTTCATCCATCCATGTACATAATCCACAGACCAATTATATCAGTACCTACTCATAATGAATCCATAAAAATATAAAATCTGAACTGGACTGGACTGCAGTCAGATATATTCTTCTAGGTGGGAGAAATCCCCATTAAATTCATTAGTACTGAGCTGTACTTTTCTTTCAATCTTTCTTTTTATGTACCAAATCATCTATGACGTGGCTGTTGAGCTGCATGTCATTCGCCAAAATCTCTTATCAGCAATTTCTAATTTTGTTATTTCTAAGGAAGCCCATCCCCAAGTAGGGTAGAAGGAAGTCCAGAATGAAAAGGATTATTATGATAGGTTTACAGAATGATTGCTAAGATTTAATTGTTTTTTTTTAAACTGCTAGTAAAAACGTACTACAAAATGAGGGCTGGAAGAACACATTTATAATTATTATTCTTTGACTCAGAACAATTGCTGTGCAGTATATTCCATAATGATTCATCACAAACAAATGTGACTCTTTTATTTTCAGCAGTGACAAAACTCCCATCTGAAGTCAGTGGAAGCTTTGACTTCACTGAAAACAGGATTTAAACATTGTTTCATTTCCTCTTTTTTGTCTACTTAGCATTGATGAGAGCTGAAACATATTGTTTCACACAGTAAACTTGGCTTCACCTCAGTCCAATTCAAATTGTATTGCAAAATGCTTGCAATAATTGGCAAAATTTATGTTTATAACAACTGAATAGATAGAGCCAAACAACTTCCCTGAAGAATCCCCAAAAGGAAAAGTGAGACAACACTGAAGCTGTTTGTAAGTGGCAAAATCTTTTCAAATGTATCTGATAGCTCTCAAATCATAAGAGGCAACTTGTTCCCTGAGAATTATGCATAATTTTAGACTGACTATGTAAATATACTTCCTTGCTTTATTTTGCAACCTGTTAAATTCAGTGTTGACAATTATTTTGGCACCTGTCATAAAGTTCCCTTACATTCCCTTACATAAAGTTCCCTTATATTTTAAATGCAACCATTTAAAAGTCATTTTTGGTCATTATGTTCTATCTGATTAATGCTATACAAAATATTGCAGTAAAGAACAAGTGTGTGGAAACAATTAATGTTTCTTAACTCACTGCAAACTTGCTTATAGTCCTTGCCAGTGTTGCAACTCATAAGGAGTGATGGTCAAGCAAGAGATAGAATTTTATTCCAATATCTTTCAAATATATATGAATGATTCTTGAATTCTTCTAATACTATTTCTTGTGAAGGGCTAATTTTCTTTGGTGTTAGATTTTCAAAATACATTGGCCTATAGCTCTCAGCATCCCAAATGATCATGATAAAAAAATAGTTATTTTTATTATTATGGCCAACATGCAAAGTTAAATATAATTTTAAAATGATAAGAATATATTAAACCCAAATATTGTAAAAATAAAATTAGGAAATCTTCCCATTCATGTTAAACTACTGAAGTGATAGTCCTAAGAAGACAAACATGAACCAATAAATGTAAATTTATCTGCTGTTGCTGAATACTGCTTAAAAATTTAAAATCTAAGATTCTGCAGCCTTGCAGCAAACAGCTGTGGTGATAGAGCAGTTTAACTACTCCCCTGGAATCACATCTGATATCTCTGCTAAAGGAGGGAGAACAAGATTGGTATCTATTTTGCTGTGCCTGGTGGTCAAAAAAAGATCTTGACAATTCAATATTTTGAGACTCTACAAAGCCCTGGAAGGCAAGAAATATACATGATATTACACTTTACTAAAGTTTTCTTTGAGGTCATTATAATAGGAACAAGTTATAATAGAGTTCTTTGCTGCAGTAACTTTCTGTTCAGCACAATCCTATACATGTGCACTGAGAAATAACATTCTTACAACAGTGCAACCTATGTTCAATTTAGTGAGCATCAAATTGCAGCTTAATATGGAAAATATTAGTTCATGAACAGTGGGAGTTCAAATACAGGTATTCCTCAACTTACAACAGTCCATCTAGTGACCGTTCAAAGTTACAACTGCACTGAGAAAAGTGATTTATGACCATTTTTCACACTTATGACAGTTGCAGTATCCCCATGGTCACATGATGAAAATTCAGATGTTTGGCAACTGACTCGTATTTATGACAGTTGCAGTGTCCTGGGGTCATGTGACCTTCTGACAAGCAAATTCAATTGGGAAGCCAGATTCAACCTGTTACTTAGCAACTGCAGTGATACTTTTAACAAATGTGCCAAGAAAAGTCGTAAAATGGGGCAAAATTCGCTTAACAACTGTCTTACTTAGCAACTAAATTTGGGGCTCAATTGAAGTTGAAGACTAACTGTAATACAAATTTTAATTTAGTGCAGATTAGAGACTGATATCAGGTCACATATAATGTGGCCCAAAATTCAGTTAATGTGAGGTTACTGCATGCATAATTGAGGATAGTGCATGCACACTTGAGGTTGGGGTCTTAGATACTACTAATGTAGTGTGTGCAGATGGAGAAAAGGAAGATTTTGTCAGAGGAAAGCAGTACAAATTTTAAAAAGAAGATGCTTGTTTTTTTTCCCATAGAAGTATCGCTTTGAATAGTGAATTGTGCAAATTTGAATAATGTGACTATTTTGTAAAATTCATTAACTGCACTAATTGAGACCTATTTGTAATTTATAATGACAGAATAAGCATTAGCATTTAACTGGGCTATTGATAGCTACTCAGATCCAGAACTTTTGTGTTATTATACATGAGTTTAGGGAAAAAAATAGTTCTTCTAAATCAAAGTAATATGAAAAGATAGCCAACCTGTTAAACCACCAGCCAGCATGATCTTCTTCAGCGCAGTTCTTTTCATAATTATCATTGTCTCTGTCTTTGGTACTGAATTTCATCCCTTGGTGATTTGCCCACCATTTAACTTCAGGGTGAAACCCCCCAGTGAGAGAGTCACCAGCTGTTCCAGAGTATTGCCCACAATTCATCTTGTAAAAATTCTAGCAAAGAAGTTGGGAGAAGGAGCAAGAGAATTGTATAAGTGGAACACCTGTCTAGCATTTATGAGAGATCTTCAAAAAGGAGAATAATACACGTAGTCTACAAAGAAATAAACTGACCATGCAAAATCATGTAACAACCAAGATTAGGTACATGTAGCATAGGGTATTTCCCAGTTTGGAGGATTTGTCCCTATAAGGAAGGTGAGCATATTATTCTGTACTGACTTTTTTTTATGCTGGAATTAACTATGAAAGAATTTAGCATATTGTGAATTCCCATGATTTTAAAGGGGTATAACATATTTTTATTTAACTGGGCGGGTAGTCACTTCATTTTATGAAGTCGATTTAGTTGTCTACAATTGCCAAAAGTTTGAAAAACTTACTGCCTTTGAAGTTCAAATGCTAATTAAAATAGTATTTACTCCTCTGTTTCTTCCTTATGCCAGGAAGTTCAGATTATATATATATGAATGAGGGTTATCTTCCCACGGGGACTCTGTGAAATTTGTTAAGTAAGACAATGTTTCCCTTCAGAGATCTCACTAACCCCTCCAAAATACATTATGCCTCTGAGTGTTAAATATAACTGGACACTCTTGATTGCCCATGATGTTCACAGATGAATGGAGCTGAATGGAGTTCATTTATAGTAGTGTAACATGCTAAAACTCACACATGCACACACATAAACACCCAGAATGCTGATGATACAACAGTTATGAAATACTTATTTTCTTATGCTGTGTATTTAGAATTCCAAGTTCTAATGAAGCTACTTCTACTACCTGCTCATCTGCAACTCGAAACTTTTCATACTGTGCAAAGCGCTGTTCATCCATAAAGTCAGACAAATCGATCCTCAAGGTATAGTTCCCTGAATTAAAAAGAACAAATGAAGATACAATATTCAGAAGAGAGGAAGGGAGAATTTCCATTCAATTCATTGCAGGCATTGAGAGAATTCAGATACCATGGCTAACTACTCATGTTTGATTTTCTTATTGCTTAGCACGATACTGACATACTTTGATTAATCAATGATTAATCCATTAATATGGAATTTTATTGAACATTTATTATCACTATTATACAAATTAATTTATTATATAATTGTAATCAGAGATTTTGCTCTTTATAGTTGGCAACTCAGCACTTTTTGTATTATGCATTAATGATACCTAACCATGTATTTAACACTTGAATTATATTAACAGTGTGTGGTTCTTTGCTTTGTTCTGACTGTGAGGTCTGAACGGCTTGCTTATATAGGCAAGCGGTTCAGACCTCACAGTCAGAACAAAGCAAAGAACTACATATATACACATAGACAGTCAGACCGAAGAAACACACACACACACAAACACTTTTAGGTCCTGTGTTTACATATCCCAGGCTTCAATTTAGCTGTTGGATTATCAAACTAAACACAATCTACAACTGAATGCCTAGTGTTTTGAGAAATTTTCTCTTGTCTGGGTAGAAAAAAACAGTGAGAAAATTTGCTTCACTATAATTCCAGATTGATAGAGTTTGTAGATGTTGCTGTGATTTCCAGTTATCAGCAGGCATTCTCTTTCTGTATCAATTTGGGTCAGTGTCCAGAGCAGATATTTTAAAATATGCATATTGTAATAATCAAATTGAGATTATTATATAAGAATCAGCAAACATATGAATGATATGCTGGAGATTTATGCGTTTTTTTAAAAAAAACAGAATAACCACTTTAACTAAAGTAGCTTTTACTAGCCAAGTGCCCTCTAATTCTGCTGGATCACAATATCCATCATCCTACGTAATGGAATGAAGAGACCTGGATTCCACAATTTTTAAGAGAGACTCAAGCAGTTTGCAAGTATGTATTTTGCCCCATATATCCATCTCTGCAGAATGCATTTCTCAGAGATAGAAGTAAACCCTGCAAGCTGTAAAAATGATCTTAAATTCTTTTCATAGATTTCCTGGACATGCTTGCTTAGAAGAAAGTCCAAAGGTCCAAAATTCTACAAGTTATAACAAGAGGCTCTACAGAGAGTCACTCATGATCTACGCATCCCGCAGTTCAGTTACTGCAATGGGCTGTACACAGGGCAACCTTTGAAGACCATGCAGTGCAGGCAGTGATGGTTATGTCTCCTTATTCCCAGATGACATCCCTGCTCTGTGAGATGTGGCAGCTGCCGGTTTTGCTTCCAGATGCAATTGAAACTATTAGTTATGACCTATAAAGCTTACTAGAGCCTGGTTATTTGAAGGAATGCTTATGGTGTCTATCCAGCTGAGAGTGTGGCAGGGTTGGTGGCCCTTGGGTTTCTTCAATTAACCAATATAATCTACCAGAACACAGAAAGGGGGTCTTCTTTGTCACAACACTTGCCCTCTGGAATGACATTTCCATTGAGATCCAAGTGGCTCTCATCCTGATGGCATTCTTGAGAGCCTTAAAGACCTAGATGTTCTCCCAGGGTGGGCTGGTTGGTGTTCCTTGCTGGATTTATTTATGTATGTTTTTTCAACTTGGCTGGATTTATCATCCTGGTGGGTTTTTTTGTAACTTGTTTTTTATTTATCTTGTGTCTGTTTTGTTCCTATTTCTTATTCATATTGTAATTTATTTTGTCTGTTACATTATGAGCTGCCCATAGTCACTCTGGAGTTGGGTGGCACCTAAATTAAATGAATTATATACAGTAAATGTATTCCTTGAGATATTACTATATAAGAATGTATCTAAACTGTAACTCAGCAATAAATCACACTCAGAGACACTTTAATTTGAACTACAACTGTGGAGAAATTCTACTGACTACTGGTCTTCCTGCTCATTGTTACAAAACAATAAATCCCTTATTATTGGTTTTGGTTTTTCTAATAAAATATTGTATTTTTCTTACCCTGAGAAGTCAAATAATGTAGGTTTTTATTCCCAAGCCAGTATTCACCATTTGCTGAAGTAAAATCTCCAAAACCCTGCTCATATTCAGTCCAATTTCTGAAAAAAAGATTAAAACCTCTGATCTTTATAAATCATGGAGGATTATTAAGTGGCTTTAAAACAGTTTGTACAGTTCTCTAACAATTACAAATTACAAACATATATTTGGTTTCTAGGCAAAAAACAAAGTAAATTCAATTCATTTTATAGATTTATTTTTTATTATGAAGAATGACTACAAAGATTTGATTGCAATTTCAGGTCCTCCATCAATAATAATCAATAAACCTGATTATACTTTCAAAGCAGAATCGTTATGCTGCTTCTGATTAAAATAACAAGAAATATAGATTTGATTAATACAGACTGCTTTGATGGTTTTAAAGCTTTTTAAATAATTATCATATAATGGTTTTAGGAAATGATTACTTTATAGTCTTTCTGTTTAGTGGATTGTTGTATGCTGTTCAGAGTCACTTTCCATGAGATGGGCAGTTATATTAACATAATAAATAAATAAATCTTAAATAAAAATTCATTAAAAGACCACTGATTTCTATCTTCCTACACTTTCTGCTTCTCAGTGCAATAGTATCTTACCCAACAAGTCACCAAAGAGAATCTTGCTAGTTATCACATGATTTTACAGTCTTTATCAGCAAGTAAATTAGTTATCTAAGACTCACCAAGAGCACCTGGACATTTGTGGTATTTGGGGAATCTCAGGCCCAGTCCTTTGTGTACATACAATTTTTTTCATGCATTTAGTTAAAAAAACTATCCAGTTTTGATTCTACAACAAACTATATCTTAACTAAGGGCCATAAAAATTGCAGTTTTTACAAAAGATACACTTTCATTTTCCATAATAATTGGAAATTCTAAATGAATTTTATTTCAAAAATACCAAGGCTGTGAAATGAATCTAGAGATTTTAATCTGTTTAAATAAATCTTACCTATTATATCTTACCTATTATATTTTGTTTAACAAATGTCTTATCACTCCCACCAACACTGACAAAGCAAGCCACTAGTATATAAAAATAAGAGCAAACCCCACTCCCTATTAGCACTGATGATATTACCTAGTTTGGTAATGAATTGTCTGCAAGGAAGCAATCAAGCTTAGAGAGCACCAAGGACCTCACAGTTCAACCCTAAACTACAAATATTCTCTTCTTACCTATTAAAATTTTGACTCCCATCTGACCGTCTCTGAAAGACTGTCCACCCACCTCCTTCTGCCATATCACAGTAGGCAAAGAATCCACTGGGGCTCTTTAGTGGTTTCATCTTGTAAAATCCACTTTGTATATGACCAGCACGATAGATCTCGGCGCAATCTGAATCATGGCAAAACATCAATGGATTTAAATAATACAGTTTAGTCATGTTCTTCTCCTTCCTGCTATAAAATATTGCATAGTGTATCCTGTACAACTTTTAATTTAATGAGGGAAATCCATTCATGGATCATATATTGCTTCTTACCAAACTGTTCCAATGATATTGATTCTGCATATGAGTAGATTGGATAACTTTGCATACCTTTATCATAAGGAGTGGAAGATGAATTAGTGCTGGGAGAAATAGACATAAAATGTAATAAAAGCTGGCCTTTCTGTCAGTCACAGGCTGAGTTATCCCCTCATGGCTTGATAGCAAAAGGACCATAAGGCAAAACTAAGGAAATACTTAACAGAATTGTGGTTCTAGCACAGAACAGTCAGAAGCAATGATTTTAATAAAACCTGGTTGCTTGATGTCTTCACTGAACCATTCAATGATAGAACACAAAGCTTATGCAAGTTGGCCAGAATGACTACTAGTTACTTACTGAAACTGTGATTATCAATACATCTATTTAAACATAGGACTAATGTTTGGGTTAGCCAAAACTGAAGTTTACTATAATGTTTAGCCAGCCTTCATTAACTGTTTTGGTTACTCTTGATTAATGTCCTGCCTTGGCTGAACCATTGCTATGAAAGCTACTGGAAAAATTCAAGATATATAATTTCACATTTGCACAGTTATTGCCAACTTAGTTTTGTTTCAGGTCAATGATTGATGGCAAACATTTCAAAAATCTACTTCACCCTTTATATGCAGCTTCCCTAGTCAAACTTAATATTCTTCAGTTTCTTAAGGTTGGACCATGTTACATGGTTTTCAACAAAGAGTTTCAAACTTGTGATCCAAGTTTCAACACATGCCAGAATTTAGCATGAAGAAAATTCTAATAACCAAATACTGGTGTACAGCACAATATGAATCACATTTAATGAATTACACAAAAACACTCCTTAGTAAGTGCACTTAGACCCGCAGAGACTACTGTTCAGATTATTGCAATGTAATATAAGTAATTCTTTCTATATTGAAAAATTTCTGTTAAAAATAATATGGTACGACATTTTACTAAACTTTTAATTCATGAAGAGTAGAAACCCTAAATAAAGGCCCTTTAAGGAGAAGGAGTGGGGTTTAGAGATCTGCTTTTTCATGCATTGGGCAGGATAAAATGCTTTATGTAAATTAAATAAAAGTTCTCATAATTATTATGAGATAAAATCATGACCAAGCTGAATGCTTCCCCCTTCAGTTTTCCTTAACCATTTTTCTGATTATGTGGTATGGTCCAAAGCAGGTCAAACAAGTATCCTGTCACCAATTCTTTGCATACTATTGAGTTGGCTACATGTAATCCTATTTATACATTAGGAGTAAGTTTAAATATATTCTTTTTCCTTCATGTAATTTTGGTGTAATTAATTTTGATCATTATGCCAAACTGTTATGTTTTATTACAGTTGGTGCAGCTCCAAATTGAGAAATAATGTCTAATGGAATATTACATGAGAAACCATGATTTGAAGTTTATTATGATATGGGAAGATGACTAAATGAACAGCTATGTGTGTTTGTGTGTCTGTGTGTGTAGGGGGCACAATGGCTCAGCGGTTAAAGACACTGAGCTTGTCAGTTGGAAACAGTATTCCATGCGCCTCAGCATATAATCATACTGGCGACATGACCCTGGAAATGTCTTCAGACAATGCTGGCTCCCTCAGCTAAGAAATGGAGATGAACACCACCCCCTAGATTCAGACAAACTGGAAAGGGGAAACCTTTATCTTTATCTATGCCTATACCTATATTCATATACATACATATATGTAATATTTACAGTATATAGTTGAAAAGTTGAAATGAGAGCAGGCAAACAATTCAAAACAGGTGGCTCTGTGTAAAGTTTAGAAGTTGAAGGCATGGTATGGATTCTACATTTTGATCATCCACCAGGTTTGTAAAATGAATGGAGAACAAAGATGAAATTTATTTCTAACCTTTGTACTTTGTTTCTTCTCCCAGATTGATGACACTGCTTTCACCTTCTTTATCTCTGCTCTGTATATCCCTCTCCATTAAGAGGTTCACAATTCTTGCCTGTTGTTGCTTCACACTGTGTTCTAGAAGTCTCAACTGGGCCTGGAGTCTCAGCTGCTCTTGGAAACAACTTCCTACAGTCTTCAGGAAGGAGGGAAAAGACATCAGTGAGTTGCTAAGTACTGCAGTGTCAGTTCATAACCAGTTCCTACAAAATCCTATTACATTCAA